GTTCTTGTCGTGCATTTCCCTCCCTGGCCGCCGCTGCGGCTCTTCTCCTCTGGGCTTGCTGCCACCGCGACCTTTTTGCGGTGCATTTCCCTCCCCGGCCGCCGCTGCGGCTCTTCTCCTCTGGGCTTGCTGCCACCGCGACCTTTTTGCGGTGCATTTCCCTCCCCGGCCGCCGCTGCGGCTCTTCTCCTCTGGGCTTGCTGCCACCGCGACCTTTTTGCGGTGCATTTCCCTCCCCGGCCGCTGCTGCGGCTCTTCTCCCCTGGGCTTGCTGCCACCGCGACCTTTTTGCGGTGCATTTCCCTCCCCGGCCGCCGCTGCGGCTCTTCTCCTCTGGGCTTGCTGCCACCGCGACCTTTTTGCGGTGCATTTCCCTCCCCGGCCGCCGCTGCGGCTCTTCTCCTTTGGGCTTGCTGCCACCGCGACCTTTTTGCGGTGCATTTCCCTCCCCGGCCGCCGCTGCGGCTCTTCTCCCCTGGGCTTGCTGCCACCGCGACCTTTTTGCGGTGCATTTCCCTCCCCGGCCGCCGCTGTGGCTCTTCGTGCCCACCCACGCTACAGAATTTCTGCTTTCAAACTACCGTGCACAAAAGAAAGATTAAAAGGGAGACATCCTTGCTCAAACCACGACATTCGTTGCAAACGGAAGGACTAGTTCAAAGCAGGAAAATAAGGGAGTCCAAAGATATGGAGGATCGGGTCGAGAAATATGGTTGTCATGGTGGAAGTTGTCCGTTGGAGATATGTTTGGTTGGAAGAGGTTGGCAGATGTTGATCCAGTTGGTGGACAGTTGGTGGTGACCGGCCGGTTTTATTGTCGTGGCTGGGTTTTGTGGATGGTAGCTAGCGTTATCTAACCAGCCAGCAGCTGCAGCCAGTTATATTGCCTAAATGGGCTACGCTATGCAGCTATCAGCCAGCAGCCAACAACCAGCATCAGCGAGTGTGCGCGTGTCACGGCTGTTGCCGGGCGTGTACAGTCTGTCGTGTTTTCGTTTGTGGTGCCCACAGCCCTGGTTGTGCACAATTGATTTTCATTTGTTTGGGGATTACCTAATTAAGGGGAGGCTACACCTTATTTAATAATAGATGAATAAATAAAGCTGAACCATGATATCTATTTCCGCTTTATTTATTTACTTATTTATTTACTCTGTTTTAAATATCTTATTATAGATTAGTAATGCGCCTCAGCCTAATAAGCTAAGGCGTGCATTAGGGTGCCGGGGTTGTAGAGGTTATGGGTTTTCCCAGGCCTTTGCACCTCCTGTCACCGTATTTTTTCTTTTTTCATTATGTAGTCAGCAGCAGCAGCAGCAGCAGCAGCAGCAGCAGCCGGCAGATCAGCAAGCAGCTGCAGCAGTGGCCATGGCCCGGGCCCTTTATCGCCAGGGTTTGCGGCAGCTTCCCTGGTGCCAGGACCCGAATGCAGGGTCGACTGGCTGCCGGGACTCGGGGCGTACGAGTCGTCCGGCCTGCCGGCACCCGCACGCAGGGGCCGGCCGTACTTTTATAACGCCCGTCTCAGGTGGGTGGATGGGTGGGTGGGCGACGTGGGTGTGGGTGTGGTGCGTACTTCGTGATTTGGGTTCAACTAGTGGTCGTGGAAAAAGGCCGCAGGGCCGCAGCGCACGTGTCGCAACGAGGCCTTGTGACTTTTGGGCAAAATAATGACATTTGGTGTTTTACCCCCCTCCCCCCCGTGTATGCTGCCCCCTTACCTATCCCCTCTGGCCGTTTCCCCCTTTATCACGCACCTACTCTTCAGGTGCGGCTGGGGCATCAACCTGTGCGCCCCAGTGGCACCGAGCGGGCGTTGCTGATGATGGGCCCGGCTGAGGTGGGTGCGGATGGGCTTGGGGTTTTGGTGCATGGGGTGTGCGTCGTGGGGACCAGCAGCGGTACCCTTGCTTGCAACTGTCACCTTATAATGTGTGTGTTAGTTGTGTCGTACTGCTAACCGTATTTTGGCTTCCCGCGCCCTTCCCCCGCCTTGTCCCTTTTCCTTCAGGTGCACTGCTGGGTGCAATTCCTCCGCACCTAGCTGCACCCAGCCGGGCGCCGCCGCTGCTGGCCAGTTGGCTGGCGGCGGCGGCGGCGGCGGCCGCGGCGGCATATAGCCGCAACTATCAACTGCTGTAAAGGCCATCGGCATCATGATCATGATCATGATCATCATCATCGTCATCACTATAATCATGGTCATCATCATCAGTTGCCGCCATTCTTGTTGGCTTGATAACTTGTTGGCTGCATGCAGCGCCAACTACGAGCAATGACCGAACGAATGGTGTCGTACAATAAACGCCATACCGGCCGTATAACGGTTAATAATTAAAAAATTTCAATAAGTGGCGAATACAGCAGTTCTGTAAACGATCGAGTGATCAACGTTAATAATGACCAACGGTTTCGGTTGGACGGTCAAATGGAATCAATGCAGCACGAGGACTTGCGCAACTGAACTTCCAGTAATGGGCCCATGCAAAATGATCTGGGAGGTACCTGCGCGGATGCTGTCGGGGCCTGGGGTGGCCGGGCGCAGTGCGGTTCGGGGTTTTGCCTAGCACAATGCGATTGGGGGGCATGGCCTGGCCTGATGTGATTGGGGGGGCATGGCCTGGCATGATGCGATTGGGGGGCATGGCCTGGCATGATGCGGTTCGGGGGCATGGCCTGGCATGATGCGGGTTTGGGGGACATGGCCTGGCATGATGCGGTTTGGGGGGCATGGTGTAACGTGCAAGAGCAGTTACATAACTCTCAATGCTTCTCTTCAACGGGGTTCACTCAGCTATTCTCAAGATCTTCCTTTTGCGACGTCGTACATTAGTGCGGGTCGTACACTGGATGGCTACACCTTCTCTGGTGTAATCGCATCCGGTGTCTTTCGACACCACCATGACTGGTAGTGATAAGCCTTAACGTAACATTGGCATCGAGACGGTGAAATTTTTCTTTCTGGGATTATGCTTTTTCGTCCATTTCTTTCACTTTATCGTCGGTCGGCTTTACCTACTGTTCTTCAAACTTCTTCGTCTCCTGTATCTTCTCCGAGGATGAATACTGGAGCTTCGGCCGATCCGGCGGTAAACGCCGTTACTTCGCCGATGGCGGCCTTGGCGCTTGCACCGGCGCCTACAGTCGCTTCACCTGATCAGCCTTCTGGGTCACAACCTCGGGCTGTCCCTCTTCCTACTGCCGTGGATCCGGCGCCGCTTCCGTCGCCGGTCAACGGTGATGCTACAATGTCAGATTCACAGCCGGGCACTGTGCCTCGGCGCCTTCGCCCCCTCGAGCCCCCGCAGCCTGACAGACGTCGTCTTGTCTCAGCGGACGCTGCAGCCAAAGTGCAATTGAGTTTGCCTGATTACCTATCTTTCTTGGTCGACGATTTAGTTGGATACCTCGACTTGGCCGGCTACACTCTGTCTGATTCAGCTGCTACCAATTGGGTTGTCTTAAGCGTGGGTCCGGCGTCTCTCGTTACAGATCTTCGTAAATCGCTTTCCGCGTTGACGCCGCCGGTGATTCCCACCGCTTCTTGGCTTCTCAACTGGTTCACTGAAGCCGTGGTCTTGTCATCCGGGGCCTCCTCTTACAATGCGCTTTGCCGTATGTTCAACGCCAAACCAGCGCGTTCAGTGGAGCAAGTGCTTCAACATCTTCACGACATTCGCCGGGAGCTGCCGGCTGCGACTCCTGAGGAGCTCATCGTGTATCAACTGGTTCGTCTGTTGCCTGACAACTTACGCGATCGTCTTATGTATGATCGCACTGTAGAGATCCGGCGCCCATGGACCAGTGTGGACTGTTTTATTCGCGTCTTGAAGACTTACGCGGAGGAACTCAAGTCCTCTGCTTCACCTTCGTCAGGTTCATCGCGTCAAGGTGCTTCTGGCTCTGGTGCTGGAGCTTCTGGCTCTGGTCCCCGTTCGACTCGTTCAATCTCGGCTGGACGGCAACGTCCGGACTCTGACGCCAAACGCCCGCGTTTGAGTGCGTCAATGCCGGATATAGTTCCTTTGGCTGATCGTTTCCGTCAGCCTACTGGGCGGGCTAAGTCCATCTGGGTCCGCGGTTTGACTATGCAGCAAGCCCAAAATCTTCGTAATAAGAATCAGTGCCTTTTATGTCGCGGAGAAAATCACTTCGCGCAGGACTGCGAGCGTGCGCAGTCCATGTTTCCAAAGGACTTTTTCTTCTTCGAGCGGAAGCCGTCCATGTCTAAGCCGTGACGTTCGTTGTCTTGTCCGGGTTCTGACCCACCCGATGGCGGAGTTGATCTCGCGCCTACTACACAAGACGTTGATTTTTCGGTGTTGTCTGCGATGGCTTCTTTGGCTGTGCAGAATAATCGTGATCTGTGTGTCGCAGAACCTGTTGTTTCTGGACCATCTGTGGCTGTGTCGATTGAGCCGACGCCTGCGGGCGTGCCTCAGCGGCAAGCGCACAAGTTTTTGGCGACTATGTCGAGTGCGCCTGTGAAGTTGTCAAACGCAAGTGATCGCGTTGTGAATCGTTCTCAGTCGGAACTGAACGCGGCTTTTAACGTACGTCTGGTTACAGAGCCTTCTCGCTATTGTAACACAAAGACGAACAGTTCGATGCCGGTTGCAGATGTCTCTCCGCCTCAAGAACTTTGCATTCGCAAGCACGAATTTCAGCACTTGCAGCAGCTTTCCGGTCGTCACTTCACTTGGGATGCATGCGCATCTAACGATGGGTCTAATGCCTTGTGTCCGAAGTATAGTTCGCCTTCTCGCAGCTTTTTGCATGATAGCTGCGCAGGACATCACGTTTGGATGCATCCGCCTCGGGCGCGTATTCAAGATTTCCTGCGTCACTACCTGCGTTGCAAGTCGATTGCGCCATCGACCACGTCTGGGGGATTTTTGCTTCCTAAGTGGGTTACAGCGCGTTGGCGTCCTCTGCTTGCAGGCATGAAAAAGCTTCATGAGTACCACGCGGGGTATCACCTGTTTTCCGTGTCGTCGGGAAAAGGTAAAATGTCTCGTGTGCAGGGAGTTTCCTCGCCGATGGAGTTCTGGTATGATGCTCCTGTCGAGTCTCCTTCTGAGTCGGCTGTTTGCGTTGCGACAACCGTCCCCTTTTCGGTGTCTCCCAGTTTGGCTATGCAGTTCGCAGGTTCTGTTTGCCAACAGGAGGCGACCATCTTGCTCGATTCGGGCAGTCAAGCCGCTCATTTACTCAGCGCAGGTTTTGCACGGCGCGTGGGTTTGGTGGTTAAGCCGCCTGACGGTTCGACTGCAGCACCCAAGATCGTCGTGGGT